ATCTCTGTTTCTCTACTATGCTCTCTTCTGCGTTTGCACCTTTATTTCATATTTTATTTTTGCCCATTTTGCTGGATTTTCAAGTTCTTTTTGTTTTTGTTTAGCTTAGTTCGTTCTGCACTGCTCTGCATTTACAGTTAGTCCACTCTCTGACCGCCCCTTTCACCTTTGTCCCCCTCTTTCCTCGGCCCCACCTTTATCCACTCCTCCTTTGTGCAGCCTCTCCTTCGAGTGTTTGAGTGTGTGTGTGTGTGTGTGTTTGGTCATGCTTGCATGGCCTTTGTATGTATAAAAAGAGAACAGAGGTTGAGAGAGAGGGGGAGCTGAGAGATAGCGGGAGAGATTATGTGAATAGAAAGGAGAGGAGCATGGCAGGGATACACTGTAAGAATAAGAACACCTCAAGTTTTTAAAGTTTAATTTATTTTAAAATTAAACCTTTAGATATCATTCTATACCTAAGCGATTAACAAGCTGTATACGCTAAAGGCCCTGCCCTTGGCTGTTCTTTGCTTGCAATTTATAGTTTAGTCTTTGATTTACACTCTTTCGACAAGCATGCAGCTCAGTGACGTCTTTGGAAAACTCTTTTTCCTTAAAAACTATAAATATTCTAAGTGAGCAAAAGTGAATTAAAACTCTGCCAAACCTCTGCTGCAATCTGGCATCAGCTCGCAAAGTCCAGAATCCAGTCCGAGGAGGTGTAAATCTTCAATTTTAAGGTTAATTTGCAAAGGTACAAATATAATAATAATGGTTAAATAGATAGAAAATGTTACTTGAAAAAAATATGTATACATTTCATATTATAATCGTGAACCTAGAAAAACGATTTAAACATTTCAAATAATTATTTTTGTTAAGTTTGTAGAACATTTAAAAATGCTTTATAACATTTTCTTTACGACATTAAAGCTTTTTTCTTTATTTCGTTCAGTGTATTCAAGCTTTACAGGCTGCTGTCGTTTTGTTTGTTTGAATGTCCAGCTTGCTGTGGTTTGTTTTGCTTTTTTTTCCGTCGAAGCTGTCTTTTTTCATTGCATTTATTTATTCAACTAAATGCAGATTGCACATTTTTGCATTTTGCGTTCAATTTGCTTTAGTTAATCACCATTTTGTCGCTGTTTTTTTTTCTTGTTGACACTAATTAATTTTCTGGTAACACTAATTATAGTACTGTCTAATAGGGCAAGGTTTGAGAGATGTTAAAATATTCTAGCTTGCAAACGTAAATGAATTTACTACACATTACCCTCTCTCAACCCACCAGAAACCTTTAACTTTCATACAAAGCTATCTAATCAACAAAGAGCTGATATTTGCATATCGATTTCCCCACACAAAACCCTTACAAAGGACGTAACTTACCTGAGAATGCAATGGAAATGGCGGCCAGGTCCTTTCAAGGATCCCTCCTTGCCTTCTTGTCCCTGAAGAGTTGTGCTTTTGTGCGATTCCGTAGAGCTGCAATTGCTCAACTCCAGCAAAGCCAGCAGCAGCAGCAACGGCGATGTGCATTGCAATGCCGAGGGAAAGGAAAGAGTTCCTAGGACCAAAGTCCTGGAAATGGTAACGGCAAAGGGATGACAGGCGCACCAACGAGCAAACAAAGTCAAGAAAGCCGCGCCAGAGATATCAAAATGAATATAAGATTATATTTGGACTAGTGCTGCCTAAGAGGGTAAGAGAAGTCTCCAACTTTAACGAGCCAAATTGGCTGCAGGTGGAGAAAACAGTATAATAATTATTTGATATATAGATTTTATAATCAAGGGAAAGTTATGAAAGGTTTTTGAGAAATGTTGGTTTTGGCAAGCTCAAAAATCTCTTGGGAAATCTAAAGATTCTTTTGTTTTCAAACTTATTTCATTGTATCTTCAAGGAACTATAATTTAATATTCTAGAAATTAATTTGATTTCATTTAAGCATAGGAAGCATATAAATTATATCTTAAATTATTTTCCTCTGTATATAGAAACATAGATATATAGATAGATTTAAGAGTACGAGTCGGTGGAATCGGACAGAATCCTTGCCCGCTGGCGGGCTAAAGGTGAGCAAACAAAGACGCTGATAAAACGAAATGCCAAAACGACAATTGAAACGCCCAACAAAAGGCAAGAGCTGTCCAAGGAGGGGAAAGTCGTCAGAGGGGGCACAGAGGGGATGCTGGAGGTCCTGTGTGTGTGTGTGCGTGTAGTGAAAAAGTCAACTCGTGAGGGAGCCTCCTCATCTGGTGGCTGCCATTTTTTGGTGTCTCCTGCTCCTCATCCAAAATCAAGTGTGAACGGGGAATCCGGCCAAAGGATTTTCTCTCGCACTCCGTTGTCCTCCATGGCCATCTATGCCTCTCGCTCTAATAATGATGATGATGCCACCTCCTCCTCCTTCGTCATCACTCCTTTATGTATCTTCTTTGCCAGGTCTACAGCTCTTCAGCTCTATCTCTATATAAATATTTTAGGGGCGGTCTCTCTTGTCTCGTTCGCTCTCTCTCTCCCTCACCCCCTCTCGCTCGCCATAATATATTCCAATTCGACATTTTGTCCTTTCATTCATAATGCAGCCGGCGCTGTGCCGCTGCCGCTGCCACTGTCGACGTCGAGGATATGCCATCCAATCTGAACGTGATGATGAAGTTCTCCTTTTGCCTGCTATCGCTCCCGTGTGTTTTTGTAAAATCCATCAATCCATCCCGCTCTGGCACTCGCTATCGCCATCTCCCTCTATGTATGTCTTTTCTCGCTCCGTCCTGTTGGCAGGACTCTGTCAGGGGTTGATTCCACCGAGCAACCCCTCATCGCTCAGCTCAACGTGTGTCCTTTTCATATTTCTTAAGGCCCGCACCGCTCGCTATTTGCTTTCATTCCGCTCCGGTCGCTGATCCTGTGCTGAACGCATCCTGAGCGCGCATCCTGTTTTTCGCGTTCTAACAAAATTTGCATTTAAAAAGCCTTGTCGTTTTTACGAAACAAGTGATAAAATAAAAGACAAACGATAAACTTTAAACCAAGTTGAACATTGTGTGTGTGATTTGCAAGTGTTTAGGATCTAATCAATCCTCGGCGAGTGGCTGCCTGCCAAAGGAATTGGATACCCAAATAGGCTGTGCCTAAATATGGTTTACTTTGTACGTATTTATTGTATTTTGGATATTATTCAAATAAGTTTAGTTAGGGGACAACGAAGTGCCGTCGGGAATGGGAGTTACACTATTTTTTATAGGCGGAAGATGTAATAATTTATGGATTTTTGTGAATTATAAATATAGTTCAAATTGTTGTAACCTTTAAGAAAGTTTTAAATATACTACAAATTAGGCTTTTGTACAATTCTAAAAACGTTTTGGTTCAAAATAGATAAATTTAATTTGTATCTAAAAGTTTTTGTCATCCAATAACATTTCTTCGGTTGTTTATTACGTTATTATTTGTTTGAAAACTCTTAAAGCCTCTTAAAATATATTTAAACATTTATTTAATTCTAAAAAAGAACACAAACAAATATTTTTAAGATTTAGGCGATTTAGAAAAGAATATTTAAGTTTAATTAAAAGATTTGTTTGTCAATGTCAGACTACATTTAGTTTCGTTTTAAATATAATATAAACTTATGATATATATTTCTTAATTTGAAGCCTAATTTGTATTTGTCTATTTAAAACCTCAACCTCTTTTACTATCTAAATAGTAAATTTTAGGGCCTAGCACAATTTAAATATAAATATATCCCAGAAAAGCCGTCTCAATATAAACTATGTCAAAGTCTCTTGATTAAAAAGCCTTTTGATTAAATGTTATTACCCACACGTTGTTAATAAGCTCGATTCCGCACACACGCACTCTTCAAGAGCAGACGACTCTCAAGTGGCCACTGGAGGAACACTAGCCTAAATTATGAGGTTGCCTTAACTACTCTAAATGGGGATAGTGTATAGTGGCGGGAAACTTTCAGTCCAGAGGGCTGACCGTCACTGCCTCCGGGGTCAGCGTGTGAAATGGGACCTGCCCCCTTTCTTTTTTTTTAATAAGATTAAACCGCACTTCGGGAGGGAAACTACTCCATAATACACAAGATGGAAGTTCGACCCACTGAGGCGTCAAATCAAGTTAATTAAAAGCGGCAAGGAAGTCGTCGGGTAATCGCACCGGATGTCGCACATTAGCCACACTCGAGGGCACATGGAGAAGATGGAGTTGGAGACCGAAACCGAGATTGAGAACGGGACCGGGACCTTACACCTCCTCCAGCCGAGTGTAAGCGATTCGCTGATGATAATGTGCAAATAAAGCCAAGACCCGCGCCAAAAATTTTCGCAGACTCCGTCGGAGTCTGTGTTATGATTGATGGCAATATGCTGGCGAAAGGATTGAGGCTTTTGTTTGGGTTAAGCGGAGCGTGAGATGCCGGGGGAAAGCACGGGTTAAGTGCAAAAGCGATGGGTATGCAAAAATGGAAAATCAATACGTCATATATCCAGTATTTATTTAAACGCACTGCGGTTAGTCCTTAATTGCAACCCGCTGGCTGGCCATGAATGATCCTGGGGAAAAATGTCCTGCCGCTGGGAGCACGCCCTCCGCTGGCGTTTGTTTGTACTCTCCGAATTGCCAACGCATTAGTTGCACTTGACTGGACGGGCAGTAAATAATAAGTACAGCTCCAGTCACAATAATAGGTTCAAGACTTGAACATTTTATTCAAAAGAATGAGGGAAAGGAGAAGGGTAAACATCTATCCTTAACCCTTTTACGCATAAATTGGAAATTGATAAAAAATATAAAATATTAATATTTGGAGTGCGTGTAATGTATTTTTATATGCATATTTTTTTGTGGGAATAAAGGATATTTTTAAGGTAGCTACCCCATCGATATACCCGCCGCTGTGCGGTTCGCTTTAAGCATAAACAATGGAGGCGTATGCCTTCGATTAATTGATAACCCGTTGCTTAGTTTGCATACTCAATTTGATCGAAATCCTTTTGTTGTCCTTGCAGAGTCCGCGTGGCATGCAACCGTGTAGTCCAGCGGGAGAAGTCGCAATGATGCCGCCGTCGAAGAGTCCCGTGATGGAGAGCGCCGCCTCCGACCAGAATCCGAGTCAGCAAAGTCAGCAGAGTCCGCCGAGTGGCGGCGATCAGAGTCCTGCCAAACGGGCTTGTCCTTTGAAGTTCTCGATAGCCAAGATCATGGAGCCGGATCACAAGCCCACTCAAGCAGCGCCACCACAACAGCCGCCGCCACAGCAGCATGCACAACCGGTGCAGGAGCCCATGGTGCTCATCCAGGAGGACGAGGACGATGAGGATCCAGATATTGATGCGGATTCGGAGCGCTCCTGCAGTCCCATTGAGGTGATCAGCCTGGATCACTCACCCTCCGCCGTTAATTACGATTCCGCCTTCAAGAAGTATGTGCCGGGTGCCTGCACGGTGCCCACTTCATCGACGGTAGGATCTTCGCCATCGAGCACGAGCAGCGCTGCAGTGCAGCAGTTCGTGAGCTCCCGCCACCAGGAGCTGCTCTCCCAGTATCCCCTGCTCTACTACGCCCCCAATCAGCTAATGTGCGCTGCAGCTGCCGCCCAATATGCCGCCTTGACCGCCCAACAACAGTCCCTGGCCAGCGCTGCTCACCTAAGCAGCTTCACTGCGTCCCTGAATGCCACACTGCATCATTCGCAGTCGCTGAGGAGGAACTTGGGACATCCTCTGGCGGCAGCTGCTGCCGCAGCGGCCGTTGCCCAGTCCCAGGCTGTGCCCAGCAGCCTGCAACAGAGTCTGGAGAAGTCACCGGTGGCTCAGAGAACGTCGTCGTCGTCAGGCGTGTCTAGTGGACTGCAAGGCAACAACCTGAAGAGGAAGCGATCGCCTCAGGATCAGGGTGAGGTGACACCACCACCACCGACTGCCGCAGCTGGCGCAGCAGCCCGGTCTCGCTCCCGCTCTCCATCGCCGCAAGGTTCCGTGGAGGACAGCAGCCCCGGATCGGCAAATGGGGGCAAGCCCAAGACCTTCTCGTGCCTGGAATGCGGCAAGGTGTTCAATGCCCACTACAATCTCACCCGCCACATGCCCGTCCACACCGGAGCGCGGCCCTTTGTGTGCAAGGTGTGCGGCAAGGGATTCCGACAGGCCTCCACCCTCTGCCGGCACAAGATCATCCACACGTCGGAGAAGCCGCACAAATGCCAGACGTGCGGCAAGGCCTTCAACCGATCCTCCACGCTGAACACCCACGCCCGCATCCATGCCGGTTATAAGCCATTCGTTTGCGAGTACTGCGGTAAAGGATTTCACCAGAAGGGCAATTACAAGAACCACAAGCTGACCCACTCGGGCGAAAAGGCGTACAAGTGCAGCATCTGCAACAAGGCCTTCCACCAGATCTACAACCTCACCTTCCATATGCACACGCACAACGACAAGAAACCGTACACCTGCCGGGTGTGCGCCAAGGGATTCTGCCGGAACTTTGACCTGAAGAAGCACATGCGCAAGCTGCACGAGATTGGCGGCGATCTGGATGACCTGGACATGCCGCCGTCCTTCGAACGGAGGCGGGAGTATACGCGCCGGGAGCCCCTCTCCTCTGGCGGTTATGGCCAGGCCTCGGGGCAGCTAACCCCTGACTCGAGCTCTGGCAGTCTCTCGCCGCCCATAAATGTGACCACGCCGCCTCTGTCCAGCGGAGAGACGAGCAATCCAGCCTGGCCGCGTTCTTCTGCCTCCCACTATCCCGCCGGAGGATTCCATCACCTGGGAGTAGTGGCTCCGCCGCAGGACTATCCCAGCTCCGCCTTCCTGCAACTCCAGCCTCAGCAGGCGCAGCAGCCACATCCACAGCAGCATCCGCCTCAGCAGCAGCAGCAGAGGCTCTCGGAGACCTTCATTGCCAAGGTGTTTTGACAGCGATACTATGCGGACAGCTTGAACAGCTCCACGGCGGCATCGACGACCAGCACCCCGGTGACCAACACGACCACAGCGGCCACGTCCACGTCCACAGCGCTGGCCAGGAGTGACCTCCTGATCGACTGACTGCAGTTTGTGGCAGCGGCAGCCGCTGCTAGCAATCCGAACTCCGGACAGGATCTTGTGCTTCCGCGGAAGTCCCCCTCGCCGGAGCTTGGATGCACGGCCCTCGGAAGTGCAGTGAGGGCCCTGAATGGACTCTTTTAAGAATGAAGACCAGCTCCGAACTCCAAACTCTCATTCCCCTTAAGACCTCAACAGCCACCAAATGGTTTCAACTTGTGCAATACCCACTCAGCAGATGACGATGGTGATGAACCTACCGCTCAACACACTTCTACCCCCCTCTGTAAATAGTTTATCCCTAAGACGACCCAAGTGTTATTCGTAGTCTACGCTCTATTTAAGCTCTCTAAATGTATTAGATTTAGTCACAGGACATAGCTAGTTAGTCATGAATGTGTATATGTGTACCGCACTGAGTCCTGTGTCGGCCTCTGACACAGATCCTCAAGAGTGCTTTAGGTATATAGGAGAAATGTTTATGGGGAGTCAAGTCAACCGAAATACATAGCTTAATATGTATCTTAGAGTTGTACTAGATATCTGTATCTAAGTGTCTGTTTAATCCAACACAAAAGCGATGAAATTGATTATCGATCGAAGAATGCATTGAATTTGTTTAGAGCCTAAGTGATATTATTGATAATGTTTAAGCAATAAAACAATTCTTCAATTATTAAACATATCAGCAAGTTTTTAATGGGGGAAGGGAGTTAAAACGAAACAAGAGTTTGTACAATTTATGAGGTTTAAATCTGATAACCTCCCCTTACTTATATGCAAATAACTGAGCAACGGAGTGGGCCATGTCATTGAGATTGTCTCCTGCGATCCTTGAGAATGCAAATGCGAATGCGAAACGAAACGAAAACAATTATCGCTGCATTACTCGAGTCGCGTTTAATGGGCTCTAAACTGTCGCCATGTCTGCCGCATGACATTTGCAACTTAATTAGTGGCGACCTGCCCCCCATTCCCACCTCTCGGCAGGTGGCAGGTCCTGGCACACGCCAATCATTTGCATAGTCCTTTGATCTACAGCTTGGGAAAGGACAAGGAATACCCGTTCAGCTGCAAATGGGAGTACAGGTAGGGGGTCTGGAAGTATCTGCCGAGGTTGCTCATAAAAATGCAATAGAAATTTCCATTTCGCTTTATTCATTAGATGTCTCTAAGGTTTATTTTGATAATTCAAATGGAAACAAAGATGGTAAATTGCATATTTATGGACAAGAAAATATTTTTATTTATTAACAATATCGTTTAGGCTTTCATTTAACTCATTTTTTCGAAAGTTATATTGATATAAACATTGATTTTAATTATTTACCATTTGACATTTTATACAAATACTTATAAAGAAAGAATATTTATTTTCATACGAAAGTCCTGATGCTATCCTGCTGGCTTTTCAGTTTGATGACAGTGGCCTATTGTAAGGTCTTAATGCCCCCGTCAGGGATGACGCATGTGATGCCCACTTGAGTTGACATTTTTTTTGTTGTAGTATTACTCTTCATGCCCTCCCTTTTTTGCCGGCTATATGAATAATTCAAAAACATCAAATCGAATCGAATATCCAAATGGGAACGAAAAGCGAAATCGAGCAATACGAAGCGTTTGTTTTTTTATGCAAATAATCAGATATCCTTTGCGCAGTGACGTACAGTGGGCCCTCAGCATATGCTCAAGCACACCGCCCACTGACAGGACTTCTGGTTCCATTCAAATGACACAGAGAGTCCATGAGGAGGAGTTGTGCCCAATTTTCGGATGACTTTTGACACCGACTCGCGGCGTTCTTTTGAACCCGATTCCTATCTACTCCGAAGGCCAACCCCCAATTGTGGAGTGAATGGTGAATGGTCCTTGAGCCGTTGTCATGTTCCTTTTGATGTTTGCCTTATGCACGCCCAGTCGACCATTCGAGTATCCATCTGCCCAGCCAGCCATTCGCCTATCCAAATCCCAATCCAAATCCGCAATCCCCCTTCACTCGCACTGTCACTGCAAAACTGACTTATTTGGCTAATTGAACGCGTTTGGTCGGCGGTTCCTGATCCCGTCCAGATAAGTCAGCACTTTTCCACTTTTCTGTCCGCTTATGCATGACGCCTAGGCACTTCACACAATCCGCTATTTTTTGGTCACTCGAACGAAGGACATTAATTAAGCTAATTAAGGGCTATTGACCAGGCGAAAGTGTGTTTTTTTTTTCTGAGAAAGAGGAAGCTGGTAATGAATGCCCGCCAGGTGAGAAGCTGTCAGAGTGTCAAAGAAAAGCTTTGATAATGGAAATTCATCGATGCGATTGGTTATTTGAAAGCTAATTTGATTCAGATTTTGTTTAATTTAATTAGGAACAAATAATACTATTTAAAATTAATATTGAAAGTTAGCAAACGGGTTTATCAGGGGATTATTAGATTATAAATCTTTTAAAAATGGTTTTCAAGTTTGGTAAATTAAATTCGAACTTATAATTAAGATACTTTATTAGGAGACTTCATTGCCTATTGGGCATATTTATAATTGATTTAATATCTTTGCTTTTAATGAGTGTGTATAAAAAGTGTATAAAAATACTCCTCCTAATATAACTATAAATAATTTTCCTTTAAACTACCTTAAATATAATACCAATAACAATAAAAAAGGTGCTTACCATTTCCATATTTTTTTCTTCTTAATTTAACCCCAAAACTATGATTAAAAATTTCCGCCATATTTGTAGCTACCATTCGATATCCCCAGAAAAACTGTTTACCCGCCATAAACAATTTCCGCTGGCGCCATCATTTCAGTGAAATAAGCATAATATTTTCATGTTTTGTTTTTCGCATATCAATAACTCTTATCAGCACCACGCCCCATCGTTACCTCCACTCTCCCCTTTGGAGGCACAACAACTCGAGCACGCAACACGGGGTTGGGCGAAAATGTGGAAGAAAAATCCAAGCACTCGAGCTCGCCGTTAACAATACAAAAAAAAATAATACAAAAAATTATAATCCAATTCCATTGTCCGACATTACCGGGAGGTTTGGGCGGTGGAAAAACTGCAGACAACGACTGCGCTTATCACCTAAAATGTGGCTGGAACAATAAGGACACGAGAGAAGGATGCACCGGGGGACGCAGGGCGCGGGGATGCAAGTCGAGCGTGAATCGCAGCGTAATCTCTTCCGGATATGATTACGCCACCGAGTGCGAGGGATTGTCTCCGGCCCTGTTGAGTTTCGCTGCTGTGACCTATCGCCTTTGTGTCCCTTGCATCTTTGTATCCTGGCATCTTTGTGGCGCGCGGTTGAGCCGAGAGTTCGGTTCGCAATCTGCTGTGATTACAATTTCTTAAAAAGCTAAAGCTGCATTTTCCTTTCAATTACGAGGCGGGCACCCTCTCTCGGCACCTCTTAATGGCCATATATATATACATAAGTGTACCATCCCCTCATTCCTCACCCCCATTCGAGCCAACAATGTACATATATAAAAAAAAAAAGAAACACTTAACCCACGCCACGACATTCTGCTCTCGGTAATTGTGCCGTTAATTGTCGACTCCCTGAACTATGACATGATCTCCTCCCACTCCTCCTCCACATCCGCATCGAAAGTGTCCCATGTCAATGGCTGGCTGCCATTAGAAAAGAAAAAAATTGAAGCCACGGGGGCTGAAGATGCGAGCATTACAGCATTCTATATGAGCACTTATAGTTTCCACGTCTTTTATGCGAGCCCCGCGGGTAAGGATGCGCTAGGGTGTCCGATACACCGGCAGAAATTGAGCTAAGCCCCTATTTAAGATGACATGGAATGGATATCTGTGACACCTATGGATAATCTGTGATGTAGGCCTCGGGCTTAGTAGTTAATAAAATATATTAATGTAGCGGAGATACCACTTATACAGGATTGCCAAAGAACTAAGTGAAAAGTAGGTCCATAACTAGGCTATGTAATTATATTATTTTAGTAAAATGGATCTGTAACTGTGGCAGGACTCTCAATTCCTTTTCAAAAATTCACCTTTATATTATATCTGACAAGGGTCAAGGACTTTATCTGGAGCTTTGCGTTAAAATTCCAGCTTATGTTCCGAACCTTCGATCCCTTTTCGAGGAAATGCAGCTGACTGGGATCAGATCAAAAGGGAGTGGGTGGTTGCTTTAGGGGATGGCGATGGCAGTGATGACCCAGGTTTCCGGACAGCAGTTGCTCGACTTCCCAGCCAAAGCTAAAGAGGCGCGAGGCTGGAAAATGATGACAATATGTGGGATGTTATGGGATCGGTGAAGCTGCTTGGCAACACATTGAAATGCATTCGACTCGACGTAACGCGGCTCAATTAGTGCGGTTCACCGATTGCCAATGCAGCTTCTCCCGCCGCTGCTTCTCCCTGCGGTTCTGCCTTAGTCCTCCCAGCATTGTCCTGGCTTTATGTCAACTTCTTGCACGTTTATTCACACCTGAGCACAAAACCGCCCCGCAGGTTTTCCCGCCTGAAAAGTCACGAATACCTTGCCAGCCAGCCAGCTTCCTAGGTTTTTCCATGCCGCACTTCTACATTGGCGGGCAGCGAGGCGTGGCTCATTATGTGTAAAGCTGCCTCCTAAAGCCGCCAACTTTCCATTAATTAGTCTTGCTTATTGGCAAACAAAATATCCTACTAAGTACACACTGAGTTTTTAGTCCGACTATAAATCATGATAGAATTATACAAGGTAGTCCCGTCGGCAACATCTGGTACACTACAACTTATAACAATGAGTGCGAGTGAGAGCAGTTCAGACTAATGAGTGCGAGTGGGACGACAATAGAGTGTGAGTTTTAACCCTTAGGTTTCGGATGAGGGTTGAAGTCGCTTTCTATAATAAAACGAGTTTGAATATTTTGTAATATTATTTTATATTTAATAATTCTGTAATAACACGAGTTGGAATATTTTTAGTAATTTTATTTTTAATAATTATACAATAAAATGAGTTTAAATTAAAAATTTCACGCCGTGCACATGCCGTCGGCAACAGTTGCAAAAAGTCATTTCCAACTAAGGGTTAAAAACTCGAAAAAAAATGCGTCCACACACAACCTTTCCCTTCAACAAGCGAGCACGCACTGAAAATCCGAACGATTTCAGCAGCCGACGGGACTACCTTGTATAATTGTATCATGCTATAAATAACCTAACTATTGACATGATAATGTTTATGGGTATATAAAAGCCAGTTATAAATAAAATTCTATTCATGATATCTAGATCTCAGTGAGAAATTATTTTTAATTCGAATATCCTTTCGCCTGCAGTCACAACAAATTTATAGTTTAATAGAACAAGTATAAGTAAAAATTTTAGAAAATGGCGTGTTGTGGAAAAAGGAGAGACAGCAGAGACAGCGATATGGGGATGATGATCGAAGATCCTAGTGTCCGCAGAAGGTTTATCGTCAAGGTCTTAATGATAGTGGCGGTGAGATATGTACAGAGACTGGATATAGGTTCGGATCACGAATTCTAATTCGATTGTCAGATCAACTTGCTGTTTACCTCGCTGTTTGCCGCCATACCTGTGTTCCATCGGCCAACGAGGATGTTTTTCAGAAGACACTGGTGGCTATTCATACCTGCCATTTGTGTTTTGATGACAATCCACATTTTGGTCTGCTACTGCCAGAAGCTTTTTCGCAGGTCCCCGATTAAATTCATCTTGTTGGCCGTGTATGTCCTGGCCCACACTGTCTTACTGTGCTTGGTAGTGTCCCGGTATCAGCCTAAATTGGTAAGTTTCTTAAGAAATTTTGTTATCAGTATCCAAATACCCTTCTTCTGGACAGATTTTCGCTGCATTCGGCATCTGTACTGCCATGGTGATCTTGTTGGGTCTATTCGCCAAATTCGCGCCATGCGATTTTACAGGCTGCTGGATCTTCGTTTTCGTAATATCTGTCATCCTGATGCTACTGGGGATATTGACATTCTTCTTTCGAATAATGTTGATAATATATGCCGCCGTCGGTATATTTGCCTACTCCCTTTTCCTCGTAATAGACCTTCAATTGTTGATTGGCGGCAAGACGCACAAAAATGAATACGACGAGGAGGACTACATAATAGCCGCCTTGCAGATCTACACTGACATCATAGAGATCTTTAAAATGCTACTCATATGTTTGGGACTATTAGAAATGTAAATTAATCGGTAATTCAAACAGAAACGAAATCTTATTTATAATAAATGAATTTTGAGTTGTTTTACTTGGCCTGCTTTAAGCTTTTTACCACAAGTTATTGGTCTTGTATGGATTTAGACTTAGTTTATGTAATAATTATTGGTATCCTAACACAATAAATGAATAAGCCTTTCATCCTGTTAAATACCTCCCAAATTATCTGAAAAACTATTGTTGACATCTTTATAAACATAAAAGAAGATCAAATCAATTTTGTTTCTACAGTCAACTTTAAATCAAGGCTGTCACTGCTGTCTGTTATATTAATATATTATATTTTAATAAAATCAACTACTTTTCGTTTTAAATATCTGTGAAAATGTGCGAAGTACAGAATATGCTCAATGGCCTATGCCAAATGTTTAGCGATGCCAAGGAGCGACGAAACCTGGGGATGATCCAGATCCTAGAGAAGGTTCGCTGCTGCGAGTGTGGCCATAGGAAGCGTTTGCAAAAGGTCCGGGAGAACCAGGCTATGTTGTGCGGGGTAACTGCTACATCTCCATCTACAACCAGAATCCTGATCTTTGTTTGCTTCGTCCTAATGATCCTGTTTTGCGCATACTTCATCTTTATGGCCCGACGGTATAACCATGTGCGTGCCTATGGAAGCAATGCCTGCGGATCGTCCTTCTTCTACAGCTACAGCGATTGTGATGTGATTTGTTAGAGGATAATGAATATCCATGATGATTAATATATGTATTTGTTATATTTTTTAATGTGCTTATTACTCACTTCACTGAAGTATAAATTAAATCAATAACCTCATATTTTTTACGACTAAAGATACACAGGTGATGACGCCAGGCGAGGGCGTGTCTGGCGGCTATTGATAACCTTTCCTGCTCAACTTTTTCACCCGCTTTCATGATTGGGCGCTGCCATAAATTATGCATAAAGCATAAATGCCAGAAAGAGACCAAGCGATGAGACCCTTGCGGAGGTGGTGGTGAAGGCAGCGTGTGTGTTGGCTTTCAGGGTGAGTCCCATCATCATCGAACATACCTTGGCCATTCCGTTTTATTGGGTTATCGAGTGGGAAGGACGGCAGCAGGACCTTCATCTCCCCTGCCACTCCTCACACACACACACTCCCGGAGTGTTGGCCTAGCTCAATATTGACACAAGTTAATTGAAGCCCGTCGGCTGCCAAAAGTATCAATGGCGTCGCCGCATCCCTTAGCCGTGGGGTCAGCGCTGAACTGAACAACCGGCGCGTTGCCTGCTTGAAGTGGAGCTTCATTGTGGCGGAGGAACAGCGGTGTGGACCTTAGTTTTTATAGGATTTTAGTTGCTGGTTTTCTTAGTATTATTTGCTAAACTCCAACCGCAAAGGGGGTTCAATCTTTATTAAAATAGGAATCGAAAAGCACTTGCTTTTTTAAGATAGCTTGGTCTTTGCTTGCAATGTACAAGCTAAGCAGCATAAGCTTATTAAAGTTTCTCAGTAGCTAAAGAGAGAGGCAGAGCTGAAAGAGCTTAATATATTGATCTTAAAAATGACTGGAATTTCATTAGATTTCAGTTTAACAAGGTCCACCCTATAGCTGGCAGATTACAACAATTTTTGGGTGGTGATTTCTTGGCCATCATAGGTGGGCCTCAGATGTATGTGGCCTCGTGACGATTGCATCACCTGCTGGGCAGGTCATCTCTGTTTAATAGCCTGTATTAGGAACCCAATTGCCAGGGTAATTGACTCATTTTAAAAGAAATTTCAAAAAAAGTCCAGCTTTTTTTGTCCGATAAACGTTGATTTATGTTTTATTATAAGGCTTTCAATGGAGAGTTCTTAAAATGTTACACAATTCCTGCCAGAGTTAGTTGTATTAGTCGTGTGTGTACGCAGATATTATTTGGTTCTGGATGCGGTTGCCCATCCTATTTACATCGTATAGGTGAATCCTGGGGCCATATGTCGAGTGCATATGGCAAGATCTCATCGGAATTAAATGTGTTTTTTTGGGGCCCTTTACTCTTGGCAGCCAAATTAATAAGCAAATTTGAAACCAAGTCCAAGGGGGCCTCAGGTTTTAGTTGTTGTTGTTGTTATCAGAATGGGCTTGATGAAGACAAAAGTTAGGAATTAAAAACGTAGTTTAATGTTTTTCAAAAATTATGCATTATGTATTATTATTTTCGCTTTGAATTAGTTGTTTTTCTTTTTTTGTTGTTTTTTCTTTTGGTTGTTTAGTTTAGTTTTGAGTTTAGATAGCATAATTAATCATAAATGTGTTGGTTTTTCCTATTTGAAGTTAATTTTAATACATTTCGTTTAGTTGTAAATTATTGTAAAGTAAATTTTTAGGACTAATTCAAGTTCATATCTAGGTTTATATATGTATATGTATAGGTAGTGTTATAATTGTTGTAAATACAATCGAATAATTAACTAATAGAGAATTTATTACAGAGAACAATGGGTGTTGGAAATCTTTCTAATTGCTTCTCACTCTCTGACGAAGAATCCAGTCCCTTCATAAGCATTTCTCTGATCATAATTTGTGGCATAAGTGATAATGTGAGAGTAGGCATACATACATAGTATTTTGGATATAAATTGGAATTTTGGAATATTCAAATTTGACACAATATTCTTTTCGTATTCTTCTCCTTTGTCTTTTACATTTTCAAACTGAATTTAAACAAGAGGCAAAGATAGAAAAAAATATAAACACACAAAGAAGGCATATGGACTAAGCGCACTTTATAACAATTCGCTTGGACATTCCGTTTCATCATCGCTTCGCCTTAAACTCAAATAACACTTAACACGTACAAAAAACGGCTTATTAAACTTAACATTTACAGAATTTAATTCAAGCTAAACACGCATTTTATTGCCATATAAATTAGATGTTAAAAGAAATGCAACACGCACACGACAAGAAATTATATAAACGAAAGAGCAAAATCTTAGGGACTTATTACTAAACAAAAAAAATGTACATTAGCTGTGAATGTTTATTAATTACAAATTAGTAAGAGCTCGATTCCTCTGCGTGTGTGTGTGTTTGTATGTGTTCCGTTAAATAAATAGGTGTTGGTTAGTCGTCCCCGCATTTAGTCATTTAGTCTATCCTAAAGCTCTACACACTAGGAGTTATTCTCACAGTCATCGGGTTTGTGCTTCGTGCGTAAATTGCTCAAAAGATCGGCACAGTTGTTGACCATCATCAGATAGTCTCCGTTGTCAGCGCTCAGCTGATCGTGGTTCAATCCACCCCCACTATTTCCCACTCCCATACCCTGGCCCACTCCGACTCCGACTCCATTGTTTGTCTTTTCCGCTTGTCTGGAAATATAGAAATTGAATTTTAATAAGTCAAATGTTATAATCAACTTGTTTGTTTTAGAGTTTAATATTTAATATATCAAAGTTTTCAATATTATCGAGATGATATTGACTTTTTCTCTTGCTATACGCAAAAGTTAACCCCTACCGATTTGTGGTAATGCTGCTCAGCATATTCCTGGACATGATTAAAGCATTCTCCAATTCCTTCAGCAGCAGGGAGTTCTTTAGATTCGCATGCAGCTGCATGGCTGCTTGAGTTGTCGTATATAATTTGTTGATCACATTGTGCACTTGGGCTTCGGCTATAAGCAAAAGTATATATATTATCTTCTAGTTTTAAATATATGCTCTACAAGTTTCTTACGATCTGTGCCCTCATATTCTTCCAGGGAAGTCACACCGCTCCTCTGTTTGTTGGCATTTCCAACAGGGCTGCCAAGCAGCTTGCTCTTGTGATCAAAGCCCAGATTCCTTGGTCTCGGTGGCACAATTGGCTTGTTGTTGACCGTATTATTGGGCGTCTCCTCGGAGCTAGAGTCGTCCTGCATTTGTGGTGTGGCTAGAAAGGGTAGAATAATTCATCATTAGATAAAGATTACATATAATTTCGTCTAAACTGCTACCAAAATCCTTATAATAACAAGATGAGTAACGCCGTAGTTGTTTCTTGAACTTGAATTTTTAATTTTTAATTAATAAAATTGCTTTCATATGATAATTTAAGTGTTTGGGTGTTCTATACCTTGTTATTATAAGTTCCTTTGCTAATACTCACCACTGCTAAAGTTTGGTGTCTTCCGACGATTGTTGTTGGCATTGTTGATCTTGTTGCTGTACTGACGATTGGCAGCTGAAGGTTAAATAGAATTTAAATAAGTATTTTCATATAACAAAAATGTATAGTATTATTACTTACCTATGGGTCCATTACTACGACCCTGTCCGTTGCTGGCACTGCGCAAACGATTGCTGTCCTCGGGCTCAGAGTCGCTCTAAAGGAAAATAATGGATAAAAATTTGATTAATAAATATTTTTGTACTTTTGTTCTAGATGAAATAATTTAACTTCCTAAGAAATTTCACTTTAATATTATTCTTCAGTTAAACTTACACCCTGATTGAGGACATTCATGGAGTTGCTGGAGGCACCCAGTCCCGTCTTGCCCTGCAGACTGTTCCTCTTGCTGGCTGATCGCGAGATGTTGCCATTCCTATGCTGGATCTGTGGCTTCTGTGGCGTGCCGCCAGTGGATTTTCCAGCTACAAGAGGTTAAATATTCATCAGTTTATCAGATTGAAATATATATAATAAAAATTTATAATCGAGGGTGCTTACGCTTGCCAAAGTTGCCCATGTGCAGGTCGCTCAGCGAGCAGGCGCGGCGTATGGATGACTCCTCGATGGGCATGGGATTAATCGTTTTGGGATTGCCTGCAAAGTGGGTCACAGATTAGTTTACGGCTCGGGTCGTGCGGTTATGGTTTTTGTTTAAAGTGCTAGTGGGATTTTGGTATGGAGAGTGGAAAAAAGGGGTACAAATAAAAACTATTAACTGTGGGAATGCGCAAATGTGGGTGGCGGAGAAACTCAAGAGTCACAACATCAACAACCAAGGCGGAAATGGGGCTCAAACCTGGCTCCATCCTCAAAACAACAGTCGTCGCCGTCGTTGGTCCTTTGTCCTCGCAATGGGGACCATCTGCAGCAGTGTTTTCTGGTTCCTCGCGCCCCTCATCATCGGCTCTGACTTCCTTGGCCAGCTCCACGCCCTGACTACTATAGATCCCAGTGAAGTCCGTGCTCTCCAGGACATCCGGCAAACTGCAGTTTCTTCGCATATTCCTGGCGTAGGCGCACAGATCAGAGGCATCTTTGGAGGTCAGCTCCTCATCCTCAGCCGGCTCTTCTCCCCGGGCCAGCATATCGAAATTCATGGTCAAACTCTTCACATACCCCTTCTCCTTGGCATTGCAGTTGAAGGGTCGCAGGCGAGATTCGGTGGCCAAACGGATTTGCTCCATCTTGCGTTCCTCCATTTCGATTAACTTCTCGATAATGTCGATCTTTTTGGCTATATTCTGGCACTGGTGACTGGTGGAGCCGCCCTTTCCACTGATTCTTCCTGCATTATCCAGGTTCTTGCGGTACTTTTCTCGCTCCTGCTGGATCTCATCGACCACCGCTTGGAGCTGGGGCTTCGTGTAGAGTTTGAGAGTTTGCATATTCTCCAAGTTCTCCGGAGCATTCCCATTTTCCGCAAAATACATTTCGAAGCTACGCTCTCCGTAGTCGCTGGGCAGGCTGCCGACTTCCAGTTCCGGCGGAGACTCCTCCTCCTCTGCCTCTCTGGCCTGCCGCTGCCTCTCCCTCTTGGCACTGGGCGTATACTTAATCTGGGAAACTGTATTGAATCGCACCGAGATCTTGGGCCTGTTCTTCTGCCTCACACTGGTGGCTCGGCGACTGCTCTCGCTTGTATCAAAGCGTGAGACCTTCTTCAGGCAGCTCTGGGTGCCGGTGCCTGTGCCGGATCCTCCTCCGGCCAGGGCTCCACTGCTCACCGAACTCCGCATTGCCGTCGGCCTCCTTTGCTGATGATCCCGTTCCCTTTGCTTCTCCTTCTCGAACTTCTGTAAATTATGCTCAAACTGCCGGACAACGCTGGCCGTTCGGGACTGTGATTTCTGTTGCTCCTTTTGCTGCTTCTGCTGCTTTTCCACGTGGCTCAAGGTGCTCACCAGGTTCTGTGGTTTGGCCGGCACCGGGGGCTTGGGCTTGAGGGGTTTCTTCACAAACATCATATTGCTGTCGCCCGATTGCATGGGATTCGAGTTCCGTTGCTGTCGCTGTTGAGCGAAATCCGTGCTCAACGACTTGTTGACACCTGAGTTATATTGCTTGTTCTTGGATCGCAGAGTGGGTATATTTTCCGAGGCCTGGACCTGGGCTATTCTGGGATAGGTCTTCGAGCTGGGCAGTGGCTTCAGCGGCTCTAGGTTGTAGCCGGTGACATCGAAGCTGTCCGTGGCCGTGGTCGTTGCATGGTGCTGCTGGCGCATATAGTAATCGAAGCTGCCATAGGCATTTGGGCTATTCCCGTACGACTTTGACACTGGCCCATGGATGATAAAGTTCCGGATGCCAGCGTGGCGTTGCTGAAGCACTTGAGTCACCTGCGCCTGGGGGTAGTCGAGCGGAGCACTCTGGCAGTCACTCTCGTCGGAGAGGACGCTCTCCAGGCTGTTGCAGTAACTGCCGGCTCCATCGCCATCCGAGAGCAGGGACAGGGACTCCTGACTCTGTTGCCCGGTAAGGAAAAAGCTGGCACTGGAGTGGCGCTGAGTCTCCAGGAATCTGGCCTCGTCCAATCGCCTTTGGCTGGCCGCAAACTGTTCCGGTTGCAATATATCCGACAGGGAGACCTTCCGCTCGCACTGATAAAACTCACGGTAAACATAATACTGAGTTGTCCTTCCAGTTGGCGTGGAATCTCCCGTGGAGCCCAGGCCACCAAGGCCCCTCAAGTTGGCTGGCATGGAATAGGAAGCCGGTATACTGCAGGGCTCATCGAGATCCCCATACTTCCTGGTAATCTCATCTATCATCTTCTCCGTGTCCGCGTGGATCATGTCCAAAATAGTTCTGGCATCATCTGCATAAACGGAGTGCCTCTTGGGTTCACCCAGGAGGGCTCCTCTTTCGTTGCCCTCGGCTGACCACTCCACCTCCTCGTGCACCGGCGACACTGGACAGGATTTGTAGTGCTTCAAGATACTAGGAGTACGTCTATTATTCCCAGCAGGATTCCTTTTCACCCGCTGTTGCAGCTGCGACTGCTGCTGATGATGCTGCTGTTGATGATGTTGCTGGCGGTGCTGGACAGCAGATGAGGAGCCGCCGAAAGGAACTCCGGGTGGGGGATGTATCTGATGCACACCCACGTGGTGGGGATAGGGAGGATAATGCTGTTGAACCTGTCGCATCGTCTGGAAGTTTTGTTGTAGCTTGGATTTGGGGGCAGCACAATTGAAAAATTGCTGAGAGGCGGCAGAAGGAATGCATTGCTGATGTGGCAGCTGCTGCTGATGTTGCTGTTGCGAATTCACATTTGGTGCAGCAGCAGTTGCTGTTGTGGTTGTTGGATTTTGGGTACTAGTATACTGCAAAGTGTCATGGGAAACAACTAATAGGGTTAGTCAAAAGTTAACGTTTTCAAGGGGGATAAAATTCATCATTACACCGTTTTTCATTACATTTTGATTTTGTTTTTTTATCGCAGCACAAAAAAGGAGAGAGCAGTATTCAAAAAGATATAGACAATAGAGAGAAAGAGCAAACAACGGGAGAGAGAGTTACATTAGCCTACATGGTCCAACTTGGATATGGGATTTTTACACATGGTCTCAGGGCTCCCTATTTCTTCATTATCCCTCACCTGGCTTTGTATAACGTCCTGGACCACCGCCGCCCGTACTCCTCGAGCCATCCAAATTGGCAGCCAGACTCAGGTCCGATATGCTATGGCTTCCCCGAAGGGGTCTATGGCCTACCTGTGGATCCAAAAAAGTAATGATATTAATTATACAGTTATTAATTGGAAAATAGATTATTTTAGTTTGTTTAAAAAGTTAGTTGAAAATAAAATACATGGGTTAATTAGGTTTGGTTTTTAAAATTTAATAAATTATTATTATAATGAAAGCATTTAGAAAATTGATTATTAACTATACTTTTAATATTAATTCCAATAACAAACATTTAAAATATTATTCAAGAGCTCAATTAAAACTCTGGTTTTCGAGTGAAGTTGGCGATATGAGTGTTACTAGTGTGAGTGGTTTTCTGGCTGCTCAGCTGGGTTGAGTGGTTTAGTGGAAGCAACATCTTCGAATGACTCGAAGCTTATCTGACTAAGCAAGTTTCTTCTTTAGTCGCTGCTAGTTTTGGGCTATTTTTAGACACAGCTGCTATTTGGGACAAGTGAGTGTGTGTGATGACAGCAGATGTGGCAAGTTGGGGTTTGGTTTGGATGAATTCACCGAGCATCGGTGGTTCAGTGGTAGAATGCTCGCCTGCCACGCGGGCGGCCCGGGTTCGATTCCCGGCCGATGCAAATTAATTTTTTTTTCTTTTTTTAAATATTTTTTTAAATAAGTTTACTCAAGAGGTATGTAATTTGTATTGTTCTGTGATTGTTTAAGGCATAAAAAAGCATAAGTTAAACTCCTTGTTAGTCTTAAAGTTTTGTGAAAAAAATGTACAAATCAGAGGAAGCGTCCTTAGAACAGTCTTTAGTATCGGCTCACCTCGACTATAGCATTCAACCTTGGGTTGCCAGGTTTGCGGGTACCCTAAACACACACACACACCGACATTGAAGGCAAAGATTTAATTTGTATTTTTTTTTTTTTTTTTGGTGCATGTGTTGGGTGGGGTTTTTGGGAAGTTGGACACAGACCAGACACCGAAAAACAAATAATGGGACACACATAAAAAATACAGAAAAAGAACAACAAAAGAAAGAGCATAAATTAAAATGGGGAAATAAAACTGGGAGGAAAATGGAAATCCGGGAAAATACATCGAAAATAAAAAAGACCTTGACCCCCCGCAGCCACTTACATTCTCCAGCTGCTGCTTGACCTTGTTGATGACCTGCAGCAGTTCCTCCTTCTTGGTGCTCGTATACGACTTGGTAATGGTGGGCGGTGCCGCCACACTCTTCCCATTCTCCGTGTTGTGCTTGGCACTGATGCTTCGGCGACCTAGGGGAAAGGACAAGTCAAGTCATTCAATATATATATATATATAGAGTTGGTCTTGGAGTCTTACTGCTTGTGCCCCTTTCCATGGGCGAGGTTAGTCCCGGTCCCTCTGGCAGAGCGGCATGCAGGAAGCTGTTGTTGCTTTGCGGCAGATTTTCCGAGCTGCCGCCCAGCGTGGAGGCCAGCGAACGTTCGGCATTTTCGGCACTGGGCGTGGAGCCTTCATCCTCGGTGTCGGAGGTTCCAGTTCCGGTTCCAGTGCTGGCTGTATGCGAACTTCCGTTTCCGCTTAGCCCCGAGGTGGCCAGCTGAAGGCCTGACTTCTCGAACTTTGATCGGCGCATCGACTTACGCAGCTCCTCCTCGTTCATGGCCGTCACCTTGAAGTCTCTGCGGGGATTAGGGATTGGGTTTACACATTTATAAGTTACATTAATTATTTAATTCGTTCCCTGTACTCACGTTGGCGTGCTGGGCGCCAGGTTGTTGTAGAACATGCCGTGATCCGAGCTCGTTCTCTCCCCATCAGAGATGTCCTCCACGTCGCCGTCGTGATCGTGGGTCTGGGTATCGAAACGCAGGCCCGGCTTACCCCGCTTATCCGGCAGCTGCAGTCGCTGCTGCTGCTGCTGCTGGCCGGCTGGTCCGGATCCGGTTGTAATGGCACCATTGGTGGCAGACACAGCCAACGAGGAAACGGAGGACACTGTCACGACTGTTCCATTGTTGCTGCTGCCAATAAACTTGAGCTCGCCCCTTCGCGTCTCCATTCCGGAATCGATGGAGGAGTCCTCGCTCAAGTAGGTTTGATTATACATAATGTCCTTGGAGGAGGCACTGTTATAATCAGACGTCTGCACATTCACGCCACTGTGTCCGCCCACAGAGGAAACGGTGCCCAGGGGACTCTCCGAATTGGATCGGAGGTCATCGGCGGTTTCCAACTGACTGCTCCGCTGGGACCACCTCCCTCGTGGTCTGGGTGCCATTCCCGGAAGCTGTTGACTTGGCGACGAGCTTAGATTACCCATGGACGAGGCAGCCTGAAGGGCAGGCGGCAAATGGGATCCAACACCACCGCTGGGCGTGGGTATGGACAGAGCGCCGCTATCCGAGTCCCCGGCTGCCTTTCTCATCGCCCACTGAGGGAGTTGTCCCACGTCCGAGAATCGCTCTGTGACTCCAAACTTGGGCTGCTCCATTTCACTGGTCGGTGATTCCATGACTATGCCATCCTGTGGCGACAGAGGAGCCAGGGGACGGGGCAACGGAGCATGACCCGATCGGAGACGTTGCTGCGACATGCGCGCCTGCATAGTCACAATCATGTCGTGGGGCACCTGCCAGATGAAGATGCAGCCGTCGCCACTCGCCGATATCAGGTGCCTGCAGTCGTTGGTGAACTTCAGGCCCGTGACCAGCTCACTGTGGCCGTACATCCTGGCCATACACTCGCTGGAGTAGTAATCGTAGACAGCCAGGGTCTTGTCCGTGCAGGAGGTGGCCACATAGATGCCGCTGGGATCCAGACTGAGCTTGATTAGACTGCCCTCATCCGAGTGCGAGCCCTTGAAGGTTTTCGTCTGTTTGGCATTCTGGGTGCCATAGACGCGCACATTGCGATCCTGGCAGGCGGTCAGGATGTGCTTGGAATTCGAGTCCACCTCCATGTCGTACAGCGTTGTCTTGCCAGAGGTGTTGGTGCCCCGCATAAAGATGTTGCCCTGTAGGGAAAGGGAAGATAGTTATTTAATCGGAAGTCTTCGAGGATTAAGCCAGGGACTTACCTGGAAGCTCCTGAACATTATAGACTTGTCAGCTCCGCAGCTTATCATCTGGAAGTTGAGTCCGGCGCCCACAAACTTAATGGAGGTAATCGAGGAGCTGTGATCGTCCAGCGTCTGCAGCAACAGGTAATTCTGGGCCACATCAAAGACATGGATGAGACGATCCCTGCTGGCACTGGCCAGCAGCTTTCGCTCGATCTTGTCATTGGAATACTCCAGGCACAGCACCTCAGACTCGTGCGCCTCGATGGTTGTGAGCAGGCGCAGGTAAACCAGGTTATATACCCGGATATTGCCACACCGATCTCCGCTGGCCAAGTGCTGCAGCTCCGGACTGATTTTGATGCAACGCACACCGTTCCTGCCGTCGTAAGAGGAATTGCCGGCCTTGTCGAACAACGACGAACCCTGATCCTTGATGAACTGCAGCTCCTCGTCGCTGTAAACGATCTTTAGCAGCTCCTTGGAGTAGATGTTCCTGCGGTAAATATCATTGTTGGTGCAGCCGTCCAGGCCCCAAACACGAATCGTGTCGTCAGAGGAGCAGGTGACAAAGCACTCCTCCGGCAGCGTTTGCGATGGCTCCCGCTCCACATTATATGGCACTGTCTCCACGCCCCAGATGCACGTGGAGTGGTAGAGGAACGAGTGCGACTTGCCCACGCGGGAGATGTCGCGAAGATCCCAGATGTACAGCGAATGATCGTTGTACACGCAGCTCACCTGGTGGAGAATAAAGCCATCAGAATTCGAAAACACTCTTTTCCATTTAAAACCCTCACCTTGGATCGCTGCTCGTCAAACACCATGGCGATGCAATCGGGAAACTTGGCCTGCTGCGGCACCGACATTATATGGTTTATCTGGATGCCCTGGGCCACGTCCACGCCCAAGTAGTGGGTGCGTGGCAGCGTGGTCACGTACTCCAGCGTCTCTGCGTTGAAGATGCGGATGATGGACTCGGCACAGCCGACGAGAATGAAGCGCTCGTTGACGCAGATACAGTTGGCGTTGGTGGTGCGGCACTGCACCCACTTGTCCAGCAGGCGGCGCGAACTGAACTCCACCAGATGGCCTTGCCGGGTGATGGCGTACGTGCTCTCCGCGCACACGCCCTTGCCGCAGGCCACCGCACAGAAGTCGTTGTCCCGCAAATCACCCAGAATGGCGCTGCGTCCCATCAAGGGAATGGGATCCTTGTACTGCAAGAGGGAGTGGGTTAAACCATTAGCCCTGACCTTCAGAGGAAAGTATTTCATAAAATATGCACAAGAGCAAAGCGTTTTCGGCATTTAAAATTCTCAAATAAATTCTGGGATATATTCCTACAATTTATTTATGAGAATCATAAAAAGACTGAGCATTTCCTTTACCCAAAAGCTAACTGGCTCTCCTAATTAATTTCATATTAGGCAAGGACTCACCTTTCTGCCACCTTCCAAATACCAGTATTTGACATGGCGATTGCCCACGGTCACAAAGTAGCCACCGTCTTCGGAGAAACAAACTGCGGCCACCTTGGAGCTGATCTTATTCGAGGCCATCTTGAGGTTGGCCCGCCAATCAAACACATTGACAATCATGTCGTGCTGCGAGCCCACTGATACCAGGTACTTGCCCGTGGGCGAAAAGGCCTGCAATAAAATTATAATAAATATAATTAATTAATTAAGGAAATTCAAGGTGTTCTTTTTAATCCAGGACTCACCACACAGGTGACGGCATATTTGTGGTCCACGAATTCCGCCACCACACTGCCGCCGCTGCAGTGCTCCAGACTGCCGTTGGGAGTCTCCAGCTCCCAGACCTTAATGGCCGGATTTATGCCACATTCGCCGGTGGCCACGTAGCGCCCGCAGCGCGAAAAGGCCACGGATGTGAATGCTTTGCGGGAGGTGTTGACCAGGTAGGCCTGTGTCTGGCGCTTGGCATTGAATAGCACCACGGTGCAGCTAAAAGAAGTACAGAAAAAAACGTGGAATAAGTTAAAAGGTAAAAGGTAAGGTTTAATTTCCTATTTCCTATTTAAAATTAAAAGCATTTGTAATTGTTTAACACTGAAAAGGGAATTTATTTTAACCCTTCCATATATGTATTATCTTTTAAGTCATTACTTACAATGAAAAAGGTTATTTAACTAAATATTTACCCTTGTAATTTATTTATAAATGGAAATTCAAATAATAATTAGCAATTTGCAAGCTACATGTTTTTATACCCTTTCAGGGTATTATAATTTCAGTCAGAAGTTTGCAACGCAGTGAAGGAGACGTTTCCGACCCTATAAAGTATATATATTCTTGATCAGCATAAACATGCGAATCTTTCTAGACATGTCCGGAAGAAATCGATTTTTTGGCCATTTTTGAAAAATTTTATAAGGGGTAACATCATTAAAATTTTTGATCTTGATAAAAAATTGAATTTTCTACATTTTTAAATGAAGTATGCAGATTTATTAACTGTAGAAAATCTTGCACAGAACAGTTTTCCGATTTAAAATGAATGCTCTTTTGGCCGAGTTATGATATTTTTAATTTAAAAAAATTATGAAGTTTTTTAATATATAAAATCAGATTTTATAATATAAAATAATAGTTTTCTAAGTCAAGGAATCATTTTCGACCCTATAAAGTATATATATTCTTGATCAGCATCAACAGGGGAATCTTTCTAGACATGTCCGGAAGAAATCGATTTTTTGGCCATTTTTGCGAAATTTGATAAGGGGTTACATCATTAAAATTAGCAAAAATGGCAAAAAATTTTTATTTCTTAAAATTTTAAATTTGGTATGAAGTTTTTATAAATTAATGAAAACTAACACAAAACTGCTTTCCGAATCGAAATTAATGCATTTTTGGCTTAGTTTTGATATATTTTAATTGTTACCTGCAAGGGTATACAAACTTTGGCTGGCCAAAGTTAGCTTTCTTTCTTGTTTTCTACTCAAATCAATTTGTTAAATTGTTCAAGAAAAAAAAATAATAAGAATCACAACTGTTATTGCTTAACCAAATGTTGGCAATTTGTTATTGGTTTTTTGTTAATATTTCAAAGAATATCTGGTTTCTGTGGTGATTCAAGTGATTCAATGCCAAGTTAAATACAATTCTGAGAATGAGATTTAATTCTACGAACGAAACTTTATGTTTCTTTCAAAGGCTTTTATCGACACACAAAATATATATAGAATTTTACTGATTAAAGAAAACGTAAAAAAACATACAAATACTACGAAATTTATATTGATTCTATTTATTTTTATACGAAATTTTTATAATTATAAATTCTTGTAGCGATATAACTTTAAAATGTTTAATAAGACTGCTTATTATGTATATAATCTCTTCTCACACATCTTCATATTATATCGAATTATTATTGTATGCCCGACTTTTTATGGTTCTTAACTTTTAGTCACGATCCCCAAATTCATTGCATTGTCATTGTCAGCAGTTATAGCCAAGCATGTAAACAGTTTCCGCCCACTCCATCGCATATAACTGCTGGTCCCAAACCATTTAAGGACGTCCTTGACCAAGACAGGCAGTTTGCTTCGCATTTAAAATGCCCAAGGATGTAGGTCCTGCCCAGTTCAGTTTCATTTCCTTTGCCAGTCTGCCAGCTTCTTTCCGCCCCGCCACCTTCAACCAGTAGTTCCGTGCCTCCGCTTAACCCTCTGGTGCCAGAAGCCAACTGCCTGCAAAGCTCATTATTAAGCTGCCTCCTCCCGGTTTCATTTTCAGTTGTTGCTACTGTTGCTCGGTTAATGAGCGCATCACGCCCACATCTTTCACTTAGGGTTATACACTTTCAGATGGGGTATAGTGGAATTTGGTAGAGGGTTTATTATTCTTTTAAAAATTATGTGAAGAAATTAAATGGGTTTATAAAAATTTATATAATTACTTTGTGCAATTATTCTTCTCTCTTAAATGTTTTAAAATCTTTTTGAACTCTTGATTTCCATTGAAGTGCATTTAATGCTCGTTATCAAGCCTGAAAAAAACTCTCACCAGCATTTGCTATTTATTCATGCCTACAAATGGCCTTTGCACACACATGTGTGTGAGCCAAGAATAAAATAATACAAAAAAGAAGGAAACTTTTGCTGTGCAGTGCTAGCGTAAATATGCACTTTTTGTTAATGCACATAATTAGTAGAGTTCCTTGGCTTAATTCGCTTTCATTGAAATGTTGGCAGGATAAAGAAACGGGATTTAAAAGTGTCAGAAAATATTCAAAAGGATAAAATAAATTGAAAATTAACTTGGATTTTCACTTGACAACCATCATTGAATATAAACATTTCCTGTTGCTTTCGTTTAAACAATCTGTCATTGATAATGATAATTATAATCCTTAAGCTTATTACGTATACGCCGGGTAAGCACCAAAGTAAATATTCCGTGGCATATGCAAATCATCAGGCACTTGCATTCAACATTAAATGTGCAAGTAGCTGACATTATGTCACATTTTTTCCACTACCATTTCCTCTCTCAGCTGTCACGAATTTTCAGTCATATTTTCTGGCGACGAGATGGAAAAACTCAGCCATGTGTGACAGTTGAGAAGAGATTTAATCAACGATTTTCATTGCGATTTATTTTCGGGGGCAGGCTTAAAGCAGAAACTTTAACAGAAATGGGATCCCACAACATGACTCTTGTGATGGTTTCCTTTTGCCGACACAGCTTGATATATAAACCAGGTATATATAGTATATAGTGTGTATATGGAACTTACCCAGCTGGATAGGCCAGCAGGCCGCTGACTGGGGACACATCCAAAGCCGCATTGCTGCACACAGTCAGGCCCAGGACTTTTTTGAGTTTTATCTGCAAGAAAAAAAAAGAAAAAGAATATCATGCCATTAGATATTACATCATGTCAGCTTATTTCGTGTTTTACTTCCAGCAAGGTCATCGTTCATAATATTTGCCTAAGAAAATAAAAAACTAAACGAGGATAACTTGCTGTGTGAATTGTTAACGCACACAATTCGCACATTTATCATGTCGTTGCCGTGTGTTTACATATGGAGCCCAGCCTTTTGCCATTTACATAAACATAAACAACAGAAATTGCCTCAGCATGTTAACATGATTTTCCAATGATTGCTGTACGTTTTTCATTTATGGCATATATATTGACAAGCTATGGCGGATTTTTATATTTCCCCACAAGGGGTGAAAGCTGGCAGTTTATTGTGTTTATAAAAAAATTTAAATTAATTACAAAACATATGGAGAAAGCATCATAAAATATAAGATAAATTAATGTAGAACTAAGTAAAAAAGAGGAAATTTATTTCACAGCTTTAAATAAATATAAATCATTACATTTCCTTTAAAACTTTTAGTAAATTTATATTTAAACACGTTCAAAAAACATTAAAAACCTGCACAATAGCTTGTTACCCAAAGAACCCTAATGATTTCATTCATTAAAGCCTTAAATAAATATTGCTCTTTGTATTCACAAGCCGCTCGTTACGCCTTACTTGAGCTTCACCTTGATCTTGCCCAAGCAACTAACCCATGAGTTATTAATAAGAAAAAAAGCCATAAAAACAAAACTAAAACAATTAGGTGTATAGAACAGGTGCCTTTTCCACAGTAAACAACAATAAACAGCAAAGTGAAGAGGAAGTGCAAGTCAACAAAGTGTGTGTTTGAGCCGCACTACCGCATTGGCAATATCGATATATAGACGGACGTAAATCAGAACCAAACAGTGGGCGAACCGCGAGACAACTTCTGTCAACTTTGGCATGCAAAGAGCATCCAAAAGATGCTTGATTATTTCTGCGTCGCAAATCCAAATCGCAAGCTCGGACGGACTCTGAGATACAAAGTAACCGAATACATTCCAGCTGAGATCATCTCAAAAATATACAAAAGCCAAGTGGCGCAGGCGAGAATTAAAAACGAGGGAGAACCGAAAGAGACTGACTTCCAGCCAGCGTTTGTTTACTACGAGAATTATTTTATTGGCTTGTTTCACTTAAGCGAATATCAAGCGACACCAACGCAGCAGCAGCCTTTAAAATCTATATTTTAATGCATAAGGTCGATCTATGGAACCGGTTTCCGATCTCTGCTGTCTCTCTCTCTAAGTAGGTGCTCTATCTCTTGTTCCCCTCCCGCATATTTGCATTTTTAATGACAACAATTTTTGCCGTGAAATTGTAAACAAATTTTCTGAGCATGACTAAAATATGGCAACAATGAAAATATGCTAACCATGACTGAAAAATGATAATCAAAGCTTCCCCCGAATCATGACCAACTGGAATCGATTTCGTTTGACTAGAAAATTATAAAAATTCGAGAGAGTGAGAGAGAGAGAGAGAGAGGGTGATGGAGTGGGAGCGAGATCGAGGGAGCAATTACGGGGCGTATGCGCAACCAAATCCGTGAGCTTTGATTGCAACTGCTGGGACTTAATTCGTTTTGAAATGATAATTAGGCAGAGCTTCTGCTGTAGAAAAAAACTAATGGAATTTTTGTAGTTTTAATTTGAAGAGATTTATTTATTTATTAGAAAATAGTAGCTATAAAATGGGAATTTAAATGGATACAAGATTCGTTGAGTTTCATTAATTTGTTATGTTTTTATATGCCTTTTTTTTACGTTTACTAGTGTTAATTTAACTGATATAAATTCATATTATTTTAACAACTTTCCCGATTTATTTGCTTATATCAAACAAAAAATATGTAGTTTATTTTTCTATTGTTCTGTGGATGTTTTTTTAAGTATTAAACAAAGAAAAATCAATCAAGCTTTGTTCAAAAATTCCCCTGTCATGGAATATGTATTTCTTTTAAATTTATTTTTTATAAACAGCTGCCGTAGGTAGTCCGAAGGTACCTATATTTTGTATTCCATTTATTTTACACATTTACCAATTTTATGTATTTTTTTGTTGTGCTGTTCAAACGGAAGTCAACACACGCCATTCATCAAAGCTTAATTTGGGAGTTGCCAAATACAAAGGCTGCGCACAAAAAAACTAGCCCAAACAAAGCCACATTCTTTGGTTACCTATTTGGTGTAGTAGCGAAATTTATGTCCAGCGGAGAAAAATAACTTCGATACTCAAATTTCCATTTTGTGTGACAGATGCGGCAGTTAACTGATAATTAATTATTATTTAACGCCCGGCACCACTGGCTGCCCGTCGGGTGACGAAATCTTGGCCATGACCAGACAAACAGTAAATTGGCCAAGAAGCGACGGCGGCGGTGGAGGGAGTTTTTTTGGCCCCCGAGGCAAATCACTTTTCGGTCAAGTGGCTTTTGGCCCAATGCCCGGACTTTGTTAATGAAATTTCCGACTTAATGATCGAGTCACTCAGTCACTGCGGCACCAGAGCCTCTGTTTATCGTTTTGGCCAGGTTCAATGCACGCAGCTGTTGGCTGCAATTGTTGGCCAAATTCTAAATACCCAACCCACAGTATTTACGGATTTCTGCTGCCCACAATTCGAGCGAAAAAGGCCACAAATAAGCTCAAATATTTCCAGCAGACAGGTGTCAACCGAAAATCACGCAATGAAAATGTATATCTTAAGGCCACCAGAAATCACGAATAAATTCAGGCCTCAGAAAGAATACAGAAATTTATGCAAATTGAAAGCCTTCTTCAGTGAGAACCGAAACCAGACTGCAAAATGAGGAAATTAAGTTGTAGCTACAACTAAATGGGGTTCCATCTCTCTGCATTACTTTATTAATATTTATAATTGAACATGTTCATAAATAATTATAATTATATTTACTCCAATCAAGACTCTGCCTCTGCTCCTCCGGGGAAAACATGGCATGCCGCAAATTATTAGTTTGGTTACACTCCAGCAGCCAAAACCCAGCTGGCGCCTTAAACAAAGGCAAGTCTTAATTGCCTACCAGTTTAATCAATAAATAAATAGCCGAGCAGGAAAAGATTTCCATTAAGAATTTCTTGCATAATTCGGGCATGAATTATTGAAATGCCGATAAGTCAAAGACTTTTGAGTGTGGCTTTATTAAATGAATATTAATTAGACTTATGTTGACTTTTTGGCTTGTGGTCTGCACATTTTTTCTGTGTTTTTTGTTAGCAAATAGAATATTGTTTGTATGCTTCTATGTTTTTGTTTTGTTATTCGGTTGCCCGTAACACGTTTTGTGCATTTCCAATTGGCTTTCATCGGCTTAACGTACATGGCCCTCATAACAATGCAAAAAAAAATAAAATAAATAAAACGAGAAGAAGGAAAATTACAGTGCAGGTTCAGTACAATGTAGTCAAGGGTAGTAACTAAATAGATTTTAGTTTGTATTGAGAATAAAATATAAACACAATTTGCTAAATAAATTAAATTGTCTATAGATTCTTTCCTTCATCTCTGTCTTAGTAATACATTTTAGCTTTATCTTTAAAGTCATCTTTTCTCTCTGTAGAAGTCACACTGTAGATATAAATAGCAGCTCAATATACCTTCCAGATACGTTTGTATCTTGAAGGCGCTTACGTGAGCCACATTTTTATGACTATGAAAACAAGCCAAAAATCCAAGCCAAAGCCAAGAAATTTTCAATAGAACAAAAATCGAATAAAGGCGAACTTTTTGTGATTTTTTTGCTAAATCTAAAACGCAACTCTTTCCTTGGCATATTCAATTGAGATTCCTGCAACTGTTAGAAGCTGCCGACATTAGCTAATTGCCTATAATTACCCCGGGGCAGGCAGCAGCAATCCAAGCTCAAATAGAATATTTATGCCGGAGAAAAAAATAACCACAAAAATCCATTACAAGTGCGGAGACAAAAGCCCGCAGCGAAATGAATCATGAAACGGTAGAGTCCGAGTGGGTAGAAATCTGTACCGTGGATATATATATGTGATTATAGCCATATCCATATCCACAGCCAAATCCCAAACGGATGTGCTGCTCTGGCCAATATGCAAAAGTGGAAATGGTGTGTGGTGGAAAGCCGGCAAGAACTCGCTTGAGCTGGCTTTGCTTTCTAACCGAGGCAAATGAAAGTTGAGTCGGTTTGTTGGTGGAATCGATTCCGTTCCGTCTTGGTAAGTGGTAAGTGGTAAGTGGACGACCTTTACCTCATAGGCGGCCACATCCTCCTTGCCATAAATGGCAACTGGCGACGAGTTTCGGGGGGCGAACATTTCACAATCTTTTCGCTCGTCCTTGAGGACAGCCAAAGCATTCCTCGTACGTACACTTATTTGGTTAATTGCGAATCTCTGGCTTCTTCGTTATCTTTATTTATTTTATGGCACATTTGAGACACAGACGCCCACTAAACAAAAACCTAAAGGCTATAAATTCGTAATTGTTTTTTTTTTGGGGGCGTAGTGATTTCGTTTATAATTAATAATACACTTTAAATAATACTTTATATTCTCGGGTTTTCGGCTTGTATATAACTGCTTCATGTACAGTTTATTCGTTGCTTTTCGGCTCTTTCTTTATGACTAGTCTTTGTAGCATTTGTCTTGTTTTGTTTTTGTATCTGCGACTTTGTCAAGGTCGTGTTGGTTGTTCTTTTTTGTGACTGCTGTTCGGGTTGGTTCGTTGTATCTTTCAGTGCCGTTTTATTGAAAATTCGTTGCGGCTTCTATTTTATCTCAGCTCTTTCGTTTCGCCGACTTATATTTTACCACCACTTTTCACACACAACTATTATAATTATTTTAAATTTTTTCCCAAAATTTCCTTGGGTGTATTTTTGCACGTATTCGTTGCACGTTTTTCGCTGGCTTGCTTGCTAATTTCTTTTTACGACAACCAAAACGTTGCCTTATAATTATTCAAAAAATTGCTGGT